CTTTTTGAAGCAGGGTCTCCCTGTAGCCCCAGCTGTCCTGGAACTCACTATGTAGACCAGGCTGGCCTTGAACTCAAAGAGATCCGCCTGCCTCTGTTTCCCAAGTACTGGGACTACAGGCATGTACCACCATGCCTGGCTCTCTCTCAATATTTTATTTATTAGCTTTATTTTAAGTGTATGAGTGTATTGCCTGCATGTATGAAAATGCATCCATGTGATGCAATGCCCACAGAGGTCAGAAGAGGGTGTCGGATACCCTGGAACTGGAGTTACTGACGGTTATTAGCCTCCATGTGGGTGCTGGGCATTGAACCCAGGTCCTCTGCAAGAGCATTCACTGCTCTTAACCACTGAGCCATCTCTCCAGCCCCTTTCTTTCTTTCTTGACTGCTATGTGACCCTACTCCTGGGGAGCTATGAACAAACCACTCACCCCAGATAAGAAACCAACGTCAGACCAAAGTAGGACACCACCAAAGTCCAACTTGGTGAACCGAGTTTTATTACGGTTACTTACAGGAATATGGGTGAGGGGTTACACAGAGGAGTAGGAATGACTCCCAGACAGGGCATCACCAAAGCCCAGGAGCACAGGTGACACCTGGAGTGCACTGCACAGCCTGCAGACAGATCAGTAGGTTGGCAGGTGTCACCTCCCAGCAGCTGGGGTCCCCTGAGCCTCTCCTAGACAGCTAGCCTTGTATGAGAGTCTCGGTCCTTAGGGTTTATATAATCTTGGGGGGAGGGAGGAAGGGCCTAGTGGATCTGATCAGTTTCAGGGACTTCCTGAAGCCTTAGAGCTGTTTACTTTCTGAACCTACAAAGCTTGCCTGTAGGATGGAAGGTTTTATCTCTGACTGCTACCCAGTAGGAACAAAAGGGATTTAGGCTGTGAAATATTTATCTTCCTGACACAGTGCCTAGTGTGTTGTAGCATAAGTGAGAAATGGCCCACATAGGCTCAAGTGTTTTAACACTTTGTCCCCAGCTGGTGGAACTATTTCGAAAGGGTGTAGAACCTTTAGGAGACTGAGCGGACTGGAGGAAATGGGTCACTGGAGCCAGGCCTCAAGGTCTCTTAGCCTGGCCCCACCTCCTGTCTGCAGACACAGTGTTACCAACTGCCTCCTGCTCCTGACACCACACTGGAGGATATCCCTTCAAACCATAAGCTGAAATAAATCCTTCCTCCCTTAAATTGCTTCTTGCCAGGTATTTTGTCACAGCGATCAGAAAAAGTAATTAAGAACAGTAGAAAAGCTGGGTGTGGTGGTGCACGCCTTTCATACCAGCACTTAGGAGGCAGAGGCAGGCAGAACTCTGTGAATTCAAAGCTAGTCTGGTCTACATAGCAAGTTCCAGGCCAGCTGGGGCTACAGGGAGACCCTGTCTTAAAAAGACCAAAAACAAGCCCGGCATGGTGGCGCATGCCTCTAATCCCAGCACTCGGGAGGCAGAAACAGGCAGATCTCTGAGTTCAAGGCCAGCCTGGTCTACATAGTGAGTTCCAGGACACCTGGGGCTACAGGGAGACCCTGTCTCAAAAAGACCAAAACAAACAAACAAACAAACAAAACAAAAGTAACAGCAGAAAATTCAAACAAGAAGAGGTATAAGACCTTCCTCACACTTTCCCAACCTGGCCCCTCCAGCTGGCTCCTGAGCCGATGGTGTTCCACAGCTGGATTGGAGAGCACTTGCTAGCTCCTGTGGCCTTGAACAAAATGCTTAGCCTTGGTGGGCCTCAGTTTTCTCAGCTATAAAATGGGAAACTAACAGTGCACAGAGTTTTGTGGGGACTGAATGAGATAAAACATAAAAGTGTCACAGGGAAGGTCAAGCAGGACGCTAAGAGTGTCACCAGGTCCTAGACGTTCGCCAAGAATGTGGCTCCCAGTGTGTTGTATAGCTTTCACACCCACTTTGGTGGGTCCTATCACCTGGGGAACCTTAAATTTGATTCCTAGACCCCCAATCTCAGATTTCTTTGGCTCACAATTTTAGAGAGTCCCTGTACCTGGTTTCATGGCCTCATATAAGTCTGACTTTATTACTCTTGGACACAGCCTGAGATGCAGATCTTTAAATGATTCCCCCGGAGCATCTCAGCATACAGCCAGAACTGGAAACCAGTGTGCTACAGATTTTTCATGTATATCAGTCAGGATAAGCAAGGGTATGCTGCAGTAACAAATGTCTCCCAACCTCTCCATTTCTCAGTCCACTTTTCTTTGTGTGTGTGTGTGTGTCCTTGTGTGTGTGACAGTGCATGTGTACATGTGTATGCATGAACATGGAGACCAGGGGACTACCGCTGGTGATATTATTCAGGCATTATCCACTTAGTTTGAGACAAGGCCTATCTATTCCTGGCCTAGATCTCATTGATTAGGCTAGACTGGCTGGTCAGTGAGCCACAGGTGCCCATCTGTCTCTACCTCCCCAGCACTGAAACCCTAAGTGTGCCCACTACACCTGGCTTTTTTACATGCATTCTAGGGATGAAACTCAGGCCCTTCTACTGTGTGGCAAGTACTTTACTACCTAAGCCATCTCCCCAGCCCTCAGTCCTCTTTATTTATGGTTTGTTCTATTGGGGTTATGTTGCTGTGATAAACACCATGACCAAACGCAACTCAGGGAGGAAAAGGTTATATGGGTTTCACTTCCAGGTCACATACCGTCACTGGGGGATGTCAGGGCAGGAACTCAAAGCAGGAACTTGAAGGCAGGAACCACAGAGGAACACTGCTTACTGGCTCGTGCTCAGCTATCTTTCTTACATAGCCCAGGCCCACCTGCCTAGGGATGTTGTCACCCACAGTAGACTGCACTCTCCCACAGGACATCATGACTGCAGTATGAGAAGAGTGTTCACTGAGAGAGAGAGAGAGAGAGAGAGAGAGAGAGAGAGAGAGAGAGAACTGAGGCATGTTAAAGACAGGATGTTGCCCCTAAGAGCCCACCCCCAGTGATCTACTTCCTCTAGGAACTACCTCCTGAGGTTTCCAGAACCTCCCAAAATAGAACCACTAGCTGGGGACCAAGCATTTACCACATGAGCTTGTGGGGGCATTTCAGAATAAAATCAAACACTGCAGCAGGGGATGGCGGCTCATGCCTGTCATCCTGGCACTCAGCACTTAGGAGGCAGAGGCAAGCAGGTCTCTGTGAGATAGAGACCTGGTTTACATAGTTTCAGACCAGCTGGGGTCATAGAGGGCCATATCTCAAACGAAACAAAACAAAAACACTGCTAAAAAAATATAAAAAACATACTTAACTCATGAACCAGGAATGTGTCATTGTCCCACAGGGAGGAACACCTCAGAGAGGGACCCCAGATATAGCTGGACCACAAGGTGGTTGGATTAGTTCCTCCTCCTCCTCCTTCCCCTGCTTCCTGCCCCCCTTTTCCTCCTCCTTTGTTTGTTTGGTTTTTTGAGACAAGTTCACCCTGTAGCCTCAGTTGGCCTTGAACTCACTACATAGACCAGGCTGGCTGTGATCTCTGTCCACCTGCTTCTGCCTCCCCAAGTGCTGGGATTAAAGGCATTCGCCACCACACCCAGATGTTTCTTTTCTTCTTGATGCAACAAAGTCCTCAACAGAACAACCTAAGAGGAAAGAGTTTATTTTAGGTGAAGGGTCCAGTTCATCACGAAGGGGAGTCATGGTGACAGGGGCCAGAAACGGCTGATCACATGGGGTCAGTAATCAGGAAGCACAGAGCTGTGAACACTGGTGCTCAGCCAACATCCTCCTTTCTCCTTCTGATTCAATCCAGGACCCCAGCCCACGAGATGCTGCCACACACATCCAACAACCATGTTACATGCAGGAGGCAGACAGACTCTGGCATTGCTCTGTCGTGTTTCGAACCTTATCCTGTGAACTTAACTTTCATCCCTTGGTGCTGTTTCTTGGTGATGGCTTGTAGATGTCACTCTAGAGTGATGTCATTTTGTAATAGTTGCCTAGTTTCCCCTTGTGTAGACAAGACATAGTGGCTTCATGTTTTTTCAGTTAATTCTAAATTTATTTATTTATTTATTCATTTGTTTATTTATCCATTTGGGGTGGGGTGCACGCATGCCACAGTATACATATGGAGATCAAAGGACCACTGGAAGTCCTTCCACCATGTGAGTCCCAAGCATTGAACTCAGGTCATAAGCCTGAGAGAGCCATCTCACTAGCCCCTGATTTTCTGAATATCAGGAGGAGTGAGACACTGCCCACAGAGACAGTGGAGTGAGAGTCACATCTGGGCCCTCACCATGGTTCTCGTGTGATCTAGGCTACTTTCCCTGGACCCTTCCAGGTTTCTTAGATCCCATGTATTGAAGGGCACCCCTGAGACCCACACACCCCCGGAGGCCCACCTCGATTGCAGAAGTTTCTGTAAGAAGTGTCCTCGCACTTCCAGGGCATTTGAGGTGGATTTGGAGGCTGACAAGCCTGAAGTCAGCTCTTAAGCTGAGCTCTGTTATCACCCTGTCCTGCAGAAGACCACGTTCCAGGCCACCCGAGAACTGTGCAGAGAAGCACGGACCTGAGCTGCTTTCCAGAGTGGGAGGGGGGAAGGAAGCTGAGACCCAGAGGCCACGCTTGCATGGACTGTTCCTTCTTTTTGCTGCAGGACACCACAACCTCTGTGCGCATCGGCCTGATGATGGAGGAGATGATCTTCAACCTCGCCGACACACACCTGTTCTTCAATGACCTGGAGGTTAGCTCGCTGCTCGCTCTAACAGTCACTGAGTTTAGAGGAATGGGGGAAGATGTTAGCTCTGTTCCTCCTGTCTTTAAAAAAAAAATCCTTTTCTTTAAAGATTTAATTTTTATTTATGTGTCTGTGTATGTATGCACATACTGTGTGCGGGTATCTACACAGGCCAGAAGAGGGGATCGGTTCCCCTGGAACTGGAGTTATAGGCGACTGTAAGCTGCCTTGTGACAACTGAACCTCGGTCCTCTGCAAGAGCAGCCAGTGCTCTTAACCCCTGAGCCATCTCTCCAGCCCCTCCTTTTCTTTTAGAGGCTTGAATCATTTTCTAGTGACCCTTAAGAAAGTACAAAACAGTGGTCAGCATCCATTTATTGGGAACACACCTGGTGGGTCACTGGGCTCCTCCAGCCCTGCTCCAGCCATACCCGATGGCAGTTCTGCTAATCAATGAGAGCTGGGGTGTTTCTTCCTCCTGAAATTAGCTATTTAATAAGTTTATTAAGGCAGACTGGTGCAGCTCCTCCTGGGTCAGCAATAATTAGCGGTGGGGCCAGGACAGAAGCTTTTAAAAGCATTTTATGTTACTCTGAAGAATGTTGAGAGAGAGAGAGCAAGAGCTTAATTTAGTGTTTTCTCCTGAGCCCCTGAGCAACATGGGGGAGGGGTCAGATAGGCAGGGGATCAGCTTCGGAAATAAAGTTAACTCAATTTTTTTATACCTAGCCTATGTTAAGAGATCTGGGGATAATTTCACATGAAAAACATTTAAATAGAACTATTGAGGCCAGAGCAATGGCTAAGTGGGTAAAGTTAATTTCTGCACAAGCCTGGTGTCCTAGGTCCAACCCTCAGAACCCACATAAAGGTGAAAAGAGAGAAAAGACTCCACAAAGTTGTCCTCTGACCTACATACACTCACACAGACACACACTCACACAGACACACACACTCACACAGACACACTCACACACACACACTCAGACACTCACACACACACACACACTCACACAGACACACACACATTTACACAGACACACACACACTCACACAGACACACTCACACACACACAGACACAGACACATACGTGCACAGTAATATTTTTTTAATTTAAAAGTTAGAGAAAAGAAAGCTTTAAAAAATAAAATATAAAATAGAATTATCAAAGCAAAGGCACAGGGCTAAAATGCGGTGTACTGAAGATGGGTGAAGAGTTTACAAAAATGCCCAGGCTCAGGGGCTAGAGCAATGGCTCCATGGTTAAGAGCACTGCCTGCTCTTGCAGAGGACCCGGATTCGATTCCCAGCACCCAGATGGCGGCTAACAACCATTCATAACTCCAGTTCCATGGGATCTGATGCCCTCTTCTGATCTCTGTGGGCATTGCACGGCATGTGTGCACTTACAAACATGCAGGCAATACACTTATACACATAAAATAAAAATAATAATTTTTTTTAATGTCCAGGCTCAGGATAACAGCTGCAGTCAAGTTTGAAGATAATCAGTAAGCTTCCTAGTAGACAAGGAGGGAAATAAGAGCGATTATCCTCCCTTGTCATAGAGTCCAGGGTAAAGAAGGACTTTGAGTTGATAAAATTCAAATAGGGCTTTGCTGAGTGTGAGCTGTGATCATAGCTCAAAATGAAATAAAAGCTAAATGAAGCTGAACGTGATGGACCGTTTCTATTTATACTTGGTGTGTTATCAGCACCAGGACCAGCCCTGAGGACTAGGCTATTAGATGGGAATGGCTACAGTTCCAAGGCGGGGCTCACCAACCCAGGGCACTGCTAATGTCCACCATCTACACAGTTCTCCTCCTTGGTCCAAGACTCAGGTAGGGAGAACCTTGCTGCCGTGAACCATGTTGTATTTGTCTGGTCTATGCAAGCTACAATGGCCTCCGTCTCCCCATCTGTAAAATAGAATCAATGGGCTCTGCCCAACCTCTGGTTCAGAGAGAAGGTCTCAGTAGAAACCTTGCTGAGGAAGAAAGAGCTTTATAGCAGAGGAGACCACAGGCAGCTGTCCCCAGGGCTGGCTCTTCAGTCAAAAGCAATTTGTGGCGACCTTCACAGTGACCTCTGATGGGAGAGAGACAGAGAGAAGGAGAGAGAGAGTCAGAGAGAGAGACAGAGAGAGGGAGAGAGAATTTAAAAATTTCTTAATTACCATTCCCAGCACACTCAGGAAGGAGAGGTAGGAGGATTAGGAGTTCATGATCTCAAAACAAATCAAATATTAAGTTGAGCAAGGATTGTTGAAGCTGCATGCAGTAAAGACCCATCTCAAAACCCAACTTAGGACTCAACAGGTAAATGTGCTTTCTGCACAAGTTTGATGACCCGAGTTTAATCTCCGGATCCCAGGTAAAGAGAGAGAGAAATGATTCTCAAAAGTTGTCCTCTGACCTCCACATGCACACTTACACACACACACACACACACACACACACACACACACACACTCATATACCATATACACAAAATAATAAAAACAAATAAATATTTAAACTATCCTATTTTAGAGAAAAATAGAGATCGTGATCCTTGTTATCAAAAAGTCCAAGGTTGATCCTGTTCTTGACTATCTCCCCCATAGCTCCATGAGAGCAGAGACCACTCTGTGAGTCTCTCTAAGTCCCCAGGGCCGAGTCAGGAAGCATCTGGTCCAATCCATAAATGCAGTTGTTTTGCCGGTGAGACAGGCAGGAAGATGGAGCGTCTTCCAGGGCATCAGGATGGAGCAGTCAACCAGGAGACTTGAAAGTTGCTGAGTGGTGACAAGTAGCCAACAGGGGTGGATCGGGGAGGCAGACAGCAAGTGCCACGGCTCCAAGGTGAGCAGGAAGAGGTGGTCTGGGCTCAGAGAGGTGAGCATGGCTTCAGGCATTGGGGAATGGGATGGCCCAGATGGAGCCTACCAGAGAAACATCCTAGAAACCAGTTTCTTCTAAGACAAAAGGCAGGAAAGCCCACCTGCTATGGTTTACGTGTGAAAAAGACCACACTAGGGCCGGGGGCATAGCTCAGTTGGTAGAGGGCTTGCCTAGCATACACACCATATGCCAGCACTATAGAAATCAGGCATGGTGGCATACACTTTTAATCCCAACGCTCAGGAGGTGGAGGCGGGAGGATCAGAAGTTCAGAGTTATTGTCAGCTACATAACAGTTCTAGGCCAGCCTGGGCTACATGAGACTTTGTCTCAAAACTAAACACTACAAAACAAAACACTGGCTTCTTCCTGGAAGATGGGCAATGGGAGGGAGAGGAGGAAGCAGGTAATGAAGAGGACACTGCAGTGGTCCAAGCAAAGACAGATGGGGTCAGACCCAGGTGGTGAGATGTGGCCTCAGGTGGGGCAAGGCCAAGGGGACTTTTGAATGGAGGATGTGGACATGAGAGAGGCAGCAAGGACTCTGGGCCTGGCCTGAGGAATACAATGCCCTGTGCTGGGATGACAAAGACAGGGGACATGTCGCTACAAGGAAAGAGCACCCCAGGGGAGACCTTCCTTCTTCCTCAGGCATGCAGAGCTGGAGATGTCAAGAGGCCTCCCTGCCACATAAGGACCACAGGTCTGCCAACAGATGTGTGGTTGAACAGCAGGCCCAAGCAGGCCCTGGGCACTCTGTCCATCTTGGTGGGACAGGAGCTCAGCCAGGTACCTTGCCGGATTCATGCACACTTCAGGCAACATCTTTGGGGTTCCACCCTCCAATTTCTCACAGACCCCAGAGTCACAGTGACCACTGCAGTCACTGCTCACAGAGAGCCATCTCCGTCACCAGCTGCAGCTGCTCAGGGAACCCAGGCTGTTTTCATTCTGTATACTTTGTTCAAAAGCAACCTCCATGACAGGTGCCCCAGGGCACCTCGGCAAGATCACAAAACCATGTCACCGAAGGAGCGGACACGCATGGTTTGCTTGCTGGCAGCCCTGGGGTCTGTGAGCTGACTCTGCCTGGAGGGAGGCAGGGGTGCACGGCAGGCCAGCACAAGGGCTCTGTGCAAAGTTGTTCAGGGAATGGAGTCTCCCTTGCAGGGAACTCAGCTTCTCTCCTGCATCCCACAGCTCCTGCAGAGCTCACTCTTGACTGGGCCCCACCTTCATGCTGTGGTCCAGTGACTCAGAGAACACAAGAGCTTTGCCCGAGAGGCATTGGCCTCCTCGACCCTAACTGAATGCATATGTCACATGGCATGAGATGGGGGAAGGGCTGTCACAAAGCCAGTGGCTTTTCTTGCTGTCCTAGTTTACCTTCTGTTGCTGTGATTTTAAAAACTCTTGGCAAAAAGCAGCTTAGGGAAGTAAAGGTTTATTTTAGCTCACAATTCCAGGTTATAGTCTGTCGTAGCCTGGAAATCAAGGCAGGAGCTCACATCCTTAGAGTGGAGGATGAACACACGTGTACTTACTGCTCAGCACACTTTCTCCCCTCATACAGTCCAGGACCCAAGCTTAGGGAATGGTGCTGCCCATAGTGGGCTTAGTCTTTGCACATCAATTAAGGCAATCAAGACAGTCCCCTACAGACATGTCCACAGGCCAACCTGATCCAGACAGTCCTTCGCTGAGACTCTCCAGGTAATTCTAGATGGTGTCAAGTTAACAAAGCTAGCATCATCATCTATCCAGTAAGGCTTCTAAGCAGAGTTCTAAAGTTGGCGAGGAAGGGGCCGTGTGGATGTGTGGTGGAAGGGTGTTCCAGCACAGTGAACAGCAATGCAGAGGCCCTGAGGCACAGTCCAGGAGGCATCGCAGCTGGAGTGGAAGGGGCAGGAAGGATTGGGGTACACAATGGGATTGAGCTTAGGGGTCACTTTGAAGCTTGGGGCCACATCTAAAAAGAGCAAGAAGCTACCGGGACTTTTGAACCACAGAGCATACTCCATTGGTCCTCAGATTCCCAGGTGACAGAACTCACAAAAAAGAGGGCTAAGGCACAAGGACTGGGCAGGGACAAGGAAGGTGCCACCTACAGCCACAGTCAG